GTCTGTTTGGTTTACCTGATGTTTGGCATAGTGCTTGGTGTATAGGAGACAGCTAATAAAGATTTGTCCTATGAATGAGCACCTTTGCTATCAAATTTAATCATCTCAATCTCAGATATTCTCTCAATTTGTCTTGTGCTGAAGTCTTCAGCTAGGTAGAAAGGCTCTTGTTGGTATGAACTAGTCTACTTTTTTGTTGTTCTTTCTCCTCTTTACCCCTACCCATCCTAGGTCTAGAAGAATATTAGAAACATGCTAGGGATTCACTGATACTTGCTGATTAAATGATGAATAGGTTTTACACCTATTCTTGTGTATTCTTTTCTCTGAATCAGAGCTTCCTTATATCAAAACCTATCCCTGAACCTATTAGTCAACTGTTGAAAATCAGGCTGAGTGACTTTACCCAACAAAGTCCACTCTATCCAAGAAAGACAGAGTGCATATCTCTTGTGATTAACCTGTACATGTCTCAGAAAGACACACACCTGTACTCTCCAAGAGGATTATATTTGGTCCTGATGCTCAGATAGAGAATGAGGGCAGGGAGAGTCAGAGCGAGGAAATCCTCTGCAAAAGAAGAAAGTTTCAGAGGTATCTTGGGACTAAGCTGAAGCCAGAGCTTTATGAAGTTGTGGCTTCATCTAGAACCAAAAAGTAACAGCTCACCCTGAGCCAAGCAACTCACTGGTACCTTTTGGGCAAGCATCACGTGGGAGGTAATAAGCCCTTTACATCAAGAGTCTTTGGAGCCTTTGATCAGAGTTCTGGGCCTCCCTGCCACATGCACAGCTAAAACTCTGGACTCCCACATCTCATTCCCACTTTGAGTCCTCACTTCTGCTCTATTCCTTTTGACTGTGTCTTCTATCTTAGGCCCAAGGTCAAACCTGCAAGACCTAAAAACAAATATGACTTCTCCAATGTCACCCTCTTGAACATGATTTTATAGGATAAATAGTATATCACAACGGGGCTATGGGTTAAAGCAGATTTAATAATATTTATTCCATAGATAGTCCATTCAGGCACCTATAACAAAATGCTTTAAACTGAGTACCTTATAAACAACAAACATTTTTTTCTTATAGTTCTGAAGCCTGGGAAATCTAAGATCAAGGTACTGGCAGGTTCAGTGTCTGGTGAAAACCTACTTTATGGTTCATAGATGGAGACTTCTTGCTGTGTCCTCGCATAATGGAAGGGCTAGGGAGCTTTTATAAGGACATTAATACCATTCACGAGGGCTCCACCCTTAAGGTCATACCTCCAAATATCACATTGGCAATTAGGTTTCAACATATGAATTTTGGAGGAACACATTCAGACAATAACAGGGTAATTTTGTTTATTAAATGAGATAAACGAGAGTAGCTATTATCAGCATCATTCACCTCTCTTGATCCTCCAACCTAGGGGTAGATGGGGATATAACCAGACCCAGTCAATTGTCCCATCCTTTCCTTCTGCCCACAGTAATTGATAAATAAGCATGTGGCCTAAGTGTAACAAATGAGCTCAATGTTTGTGATGTTTGGAAATGGAAGATGGAAGATTAAGTCTCACTTTTCTTTGGAATCATAAGCTCTAAGAATGACGTAAGATTCTAAGAATTAAGCCAATGGATGAAATCTAACCAATACTTACAGGGACTGTATCATATTGTCTCAACTTCAGAACCCAACAGTACCTAAAGCTAACTCTGATCTTAGATGTTCCAGTACATGGACAATATATTGTCTCTCTTTTGCTTACTCTAATTTGAATTGAGTTTTCATTACATGCAGCAGAGTATAGAGCTATATAGAAGTTCACTTCCTCAGTTTCTAGCAACCAGATTCCAAAGATGAGCAGTAAGGGGAAGAAGTCAAAGTCCCTACTTACTACCATTTGTTCTCAGATCAGGTACAATCTGACCTTTCTGAAAAACTGTGCATTCTAAAATTTACTGAATCATGGGTTATGTATCAGGAGGATATGTAACAAGGAGGATGATAAGAAGTTTTATATAGGGGCATCTGGGTGGCTCAGTTGGTTAAGTGTCCAACGTCAGCTCAGGTCATGATCTCACAGTTCGTGGGTTTGAGCCCCACATCGGGTTCTGTGCTGATAGCTCAGAGACTGGACCCTGTTTCAGATTCTGTGTCTCCCTCTCTTTCTGCCCCTACCCCACTCGTGCTCTCTGTCTCAAAAATTAATAAACTATTAAAAACTTTTTTAAAAGTTTTCTTATGATCTCAAGATCAAGAGTCACATGCTCTCCCAACTAGAACAGCCAGGTACATCTGAAGCTAATATTACACTTAATGTTATCTAACTAGAATTTAAATAAAAGCTTAAACAAAAGTTTACCTAAAAAAAATTTTTTTAAGTTTTATATAAAAGGGTCTACAACACTTCTCAACTAACCAATAAGAAAACCAGATAATGTCTACAGATCCATTTTTACATCAGTCTGTGTCTGTGTCTGGCCAGGCAAAGAGAAACAACAGAGGGACCTTAATACAGGGACCACTTCATGATTTACCCTGGTATTTAGAGATCTTGGAAGCCATGTAATTCATCTCCAACTTTGTATAGAGAGAAAATGAGGCTCAGAGAGATAGTGGGGCATAACCAGACGTAGAGCTGTTAGAGCTAGAGTCCAAGTCTAGATTCCTATCTAATTACCTGTCCCACCAGAAAAAGGCCAACCACGTATCTTCAATGCCACCAATACCACCCTTTAGAAGCACAGATAATGTTAAGACACTAAGCTTTAAGGATCTCCTTCTTTCATGCTATGAGATCCTGAGCAGTTTATTAACCTTGCTCCTCAGAGTGTGACTCCCCAGACCAGCAGCCTCAGCAATATCTGGGTGGTTTTTGGAAATGCAGAATCTCAAGCCCCACACCAGACCTACTGAACCAGAATCTGATTGTATCAAAGTCTCCAGGCAATGTACATACACATTAAAGTTCGAAGAAGATGGATTTAAATTGTCTGAGCCTCAATTTATTTCTTCATCTGTTAAATGGGATAATAGTACCTACCTTGTAAGATTGTTCCAAAAATTATCAGTAAGGTATCTTTAAAACAATCAGATGCCTTGATTGAAAAGTTTAGAGATTCTTTTTAAGGCGGTTTAAAGCTCAGCCATCTGGCAGCATTACAATAAAGGAAATCTCGATACATTGCTTCAATTTAATTCAACTACCTTATAACTTGCGGTAATGATTACAGCAGGAGCTAGAAAATAATTCAAATTAAGAAACAATATATTTAGTTGTTGGCTTTGGGGGGAGTCTGCCTGTCTTGGCTCATTCCCTAGAGAGACAACGTGGAGCAAGGGATTTACCTTCACTCACTACAGCGTCTGCATCTGTGATGTGAGAATAAGGATGCCTTATGTAGTGGTGGGGATTCAGTGAGATCATCCACGTGAAGCACTTGACACATGGCCTAGCACATGGCATGTTCCCAGAGAAGAATAGCTGCCATCACCATCATCATCATCTTTGTCACCATCATTCACTGTCGTGTCTTCTATTACATCCCCCCAAGGACTGTTACCTTGGGAAGGTCCCAAAACAAACAAGCAGACAGGACAAGAGCCTGTCTCTCTTTTATGTGAATAGTCAGTTGAAATCTTCCTTTTCCTTCCATAAAGACACATCTATCAATGGCAAGTAAAGTCAGGTTTCTCATACTTAAAACTATGCTAGCTCCTCACTAGTTTTCTTTGTCCTGGCTAATTTTTTTTCCCAAGTGTTTTGTACAGAGAAGCTCAAGATGGTTACAGGCAGCCTACTAGCCATCTTTTTTTTATCTCCTCCAATAGAGCACGGATGATAGCATTTCAGGTGTGGTAGAGCTGCATTCAGTTCAGAATTACTAGATTTTAACCAAGTTTTCATACTGTCTGCAGTGTGATTCTCCACTGGGGCTTTGCAGAATACTAGGATTCTAGTTACTTAATTTATTCTCCTGCCCCACCAATTATATAGAAAGAGCCACCTCCATTTTTCAAATCAGAGCAAGTTCCAGAAAACGAGATTCAATCAGCTCTCATGTTGGCACACTTACTATATTACTTCAGTACAACCCCTAGGAAGTAACTGAGTCCCAGAAACCTTTGATAACTTAGTAAATGGTAACTGGGTGACCTTGGTAACTTGCCAAAAGTTGCATTGTTGGTCAGAAAGGACAACAGTCCGGTCTTAAAAAGTTCCAAAGTCGCACAGTCCAATGTCTCCCAAACCATAAAACCAGGTTATTCTTCATAATGTTTGACCTGATCTCTTCTGCTGGAGTACAAGCCTAATTTATCTTATCCTGCCACCTACATACAAATCTTCAGGAATTCCTCATTAAATCTCACCTACCTTGCCCTTCTCACAGATATCTTCTTGGGAAAAATTAGTTCAATCCCCTAACCTCAGAGCCAGCACCTTTGAAAGGGAGGAGGTGGACCAAAGTGTGGTATGTTCACTCCCTTGAGGGTTGGGGTAAAGAAAGGAGCGCCCTGTAAACTGTGAACACCCTGCAGTCACAATCTGAGTATCTTGACTCTGAGCAACTGAAAGCACAGGGAGTAATTCTAGACTCTTTCTTTTGCACGACACCTGACAATTTTCAAAGCACATTCACATCCTTTGAACCTTCCAACCATCCCATGAGGAGGGCAGAACAGAATTATGGTGTCTCACACTTTCAGGTGAGTCAAATGAGGCTCAGAAAGGCCAAACGATTTTTCCAAAATCACAAAGCTAATGAGCAATCAGGCTGGGACCAGCTGGAACCAGGCTATCTCTCACACATATTGAAAAAGAAAGCTCAGGATGGATCCTGCCCTAAGCTACTGTTAGAAATGGTCTGATCATCACTTGCTGCTTTAATGGAGATGAGCTGGCAGTTAGCTGAAAACAAGAATAGTACACAAACCTACTATCACAAGGAAGCCTGGGGTGGGGTTGGATGTAGAAAGAGGGTGTAGACAGGACTTACTAGAACCAATATCTCAAACTTCATCATTTTATTGAAGACAAGATCTGACCATGCCAAACCAAACCATTTGCAAGCATTTTGGAATCTGGTCCTGGACCAGGTTCCTGGGGAACAGAGACTTTATGTCTTCACTGGCCAGCACTCTGCTAAGCACAGAGTACATTCTTAAACAGGTTTGATTAATTGATTGATTGATTAATATGTGTCCATGCTAACTCTTGGATTTTCTTTTATAAGGTCATTACCTTCACCTTTGGTTTTCTCCCCTCTTTCTCCCCAGTCTCTCTACCCCAGGGCAGTGTCAGGCTCTTTTAGCCTATTAAACTGTACAAGCAGCCCTGGTCCTGAGACCGCAGCTTTCAGCCGAACCAGCCAGCAGTTCTATTGTTCATTCCTCTCAGACACATCAGATTTGACATTTCTCCCAGCAGAGGGATTTCTTGCTGCAAAACAAAATGAAATCAATACAGTTTTATTAGCCATCTAGTGTAATAAATTTGACCCAGATGACAGCCTCTAGGCTCAATCCAGGCTGCATCTGAGATCCCAAAGGAACATGTCTAAATACTGACCATACCTCCAGCCCTCTCCTCTCTGTTCCAAGCACAGTCATCCTGATTCCATTCTTTATCACTCAGCCTGAACTTATGCATAGTCTCTTAATCACTCTCTAGGGCTCCGAGCACTCTGCCTTCTGCCCTTTCTGCACCTGACTCAACATTTCCCCCTCATGTGGCATTCAAAGGTCCTTCACAATGGGGTCCACCTCTCCTGCTTGATTTTCTCACTGCTCCTTCCTTGCTTGATTATCCTGCAGGTCAATGGAACACTGCCTCTGATACAGCACATGATATATACTCATGACCTCTGGGCTTTTGCTCATGCTAGTCCCTCTGCCTACAATGACCTTCTCTATTTCTTTACCAGAATTTCTACTCATCTTTCAAGACCCAGGTCTTTTGGGAAGCTTCCCCAAGGGCCCCAGAAAGAGGCACTTATTCCCTTCTCCATGTACGCTCAGTATTTTATTTATATCCTGATGCCTAGCACATTATCTTTTACTTTTCATTTACTTGTCTCTTTCCCTGCTTGTAAACTTCTGTAAGATGGAGTGTGATCCAACCTCTAGACATCCTTGAATTCCCCATGCCTACCTTAGTGCCCATAACAGGCACACAAAAGTGTGTTGACCTGCACTGAAAGAGTTTTGAGGATTGCCCACATCTCTGGAGAACTTGGGAACTATTGATTCAGGCGATTCACATGCTGCATGCTGGTAAGCTTTTGAAAGTTAAGGAATGCCTTCATATGAGTATGCAAATCAGTGAGGACTTTTAGAGTACAATATAACAATATGTTTCAACACATTCAATGTGCAAACCCTGATTTGGCCATTCTACTTCTAGAAATTCTTCCTATAGACATTCTCACATACATGCACTAAAAATTACCTATAAGAATATTCAGCGGAGTTTTGTTTATAATAATAAAAAAGGATACAACTTAAGTTCTGTTAATAGGAACAGCAGCTTAAAGGATAATGTTTAACCTATACCATGTAATACTATGCAATTACTAAGAAAATGAAATAGACCTGTATGTACTGATTCAGAAAGACGTCTGAAATATGACCGTGAGGAAATCAAGTTGCAGAACAATGGAAAAGAAATACCCCAAATTGTTAACAGTGATTATCTTTAGGACATGATATTAGAGAACAATTTCATTCTGAACTCTATAGATTTCGATACTTATTTTTTTCTTTAGCAGAACCCTCCCCACTTCTTCTCTAGCTTTCAGACTGGATTGAATGGACTGGAAGATAAGCCTGGGGCTATTCACAAATTAGAAAAGCTAGAACCTGCTTTTCTGCAGGTGCTCCATGCTCCCTCCCAGCTGCCAATCAAGTCCCCCCTTTCTCTGCTTAAACCTGAAGGGATGGGCAAAGGGGAGGGGAGTGGTTGGAACTGAACAGGAGGCAGGTTGGTGGAGAACTGTGACCTCAAAAGCCAGCTCTGCCTCCCTATCCCTTCAAGGCTGCTTGGTCCAGACCAGAATGAGAAAGGAAATGAACTGAGGGTACATCAGTTAACTGCAGAAATAATCCTCTGCCTTCACTTTCAGAGGCATTTCATCCCCCCACCCCCTCACCCCGCCTGTTCTGGGCAGGGTCAGGCATGGCAGGGAATTCTGTAGATACAGAGGCTGGGGCACCCAGCCACTGCCTGCAGTAGACAGGGACACAGCTCCTTGGAAAGGAAAAGGATAAAACCACTGAGTGAATTCCATGAATTGGTAAATTGCCTAATCTAATCTTTCTTTGGATGTGTCCTTTGTCTCTATTTTAAATGGTGGAGCGTGGTGCATCTCTATATAACGAGTTTAGTTGAAGAAAAAAAGGCCCCAAAAATGAGTATTAAGCTAAATGTATGATGATATTATCGATGCAAAGAAGATTATTAAAATCATGAGAATAACTCCTTTTCTGATAAACTTGAAAATCTAGATGAAAAATACTATTCTGTTAGAAAGCATAAATTGCCAAAAATGATTCAAGTAAAAAAGATGAATTTCTAAATAAGCTACCAATAACCAGGGAAAACACTGAGAAAGGTCTCAAAATACCCTCTTTCAAAAGATAGTTAGTTCAGACAGTTTTGCTAGAGAGTTCTACCAAACCTTTAGGGATAAACCAAAGGCAATAGCAACAAAGAGCTATAAACATATCTAGAAATAAGCTTAATAATATGAATAAAAAAACAATAAAACTTACTGAATATGGTCTTGACATACCATATTCTGAATTGGAAGGCTTGATATTATGAGATATTGATCCTCCATAAATTGATGTATAAATATAATTCATTTTCCAAGGATAATTTCAGTTGAATATTTTAGTAGAATTTGGAAAGAATTGGGAATACATCAAAAAAATCTTTTTAAGCTTTAAATCATTTCAATCCAAATATCACCTTTACTTATGCTTTTCTTTATAAAACTCATGTTTTCTAGCTAAAAATCACCACTTCGTTATTTTCTCTTTATTTCCATAAGCAATTAAGTTTCTTTGTTGAACTACTATTTTGCAAAAGAAGAAACAAAATTCCCTATATTTATAAAATAAACATAGTCTACTTAATACTTATTATATACCTCACCCTCTGTGTGAATGCATAAGGTATATATTATCTCATGTAATTCATGCATCCCTGTATAAGACCCCTTCATTTATAAACAGTACCATTTCCTCATGTATTACTAAGAAAGAAAAATCCCCACCATTTCATCTCTACATCCCAATGTCAGAGCTGATAAAATCAAAAAAGAAATGTTTTTTCAAATCAGTGAAGGATGCTACTATCCATCCCCATGGTATAGATAAGAAAACCGAAGCTTATTTAGATTTAAGTGTCTTCCCCTCTAATAGTTTTTTCTGTGCTCCTTCTTGGAACATCCTGTGTGGATTTTGTTTCCCCTTCCATCTCCATCCCACACTTAGAGCTGGTTTTTGGCTTGTTCATTCATTTTTAATTAAGTATGGGCATAAAAACTACACCACACTTCTCCTAGTAGAAACATTCAATATACTTAACTCCAGAAAGGTGAGTACCATTTCAGGGACTGGGTTCTCTGTGCTGAAAGGGAATTCTAATGTTTCCTATCACCTAAAGGCAGCACCCCTCCCCCAGGTACTAAATAGGGCTTTCCCTTTTAGGGCAAACATCTCAGGTTTGGGGTAAGGCTGAATGGGAACACTTGAAAAGAGAAGCAGCATTACTTAGTTTAAAAAAAAAAAAAAGCATTTAGGGGCATCTGAGTGGCTCAGTAGGTTAAGAGACCAACTCTTGATTTTGGGTCAAGTCATGATCGCACTATTCTTGTAATCGAACACCGAGTCAGGCTCCATGATGAGCATGGGGTCTGCTTGGGATTCTCTCTCTCTCTCTCTCTCTCTCTCTCTCTCTCTCTCTCCCCGTGTCTCTCTCTCCTCTCTCAAATAAATAATAAAAATAACATAATCAGGAAATATCATTTACTATTTACACTCTGCAACTTCCCATCTTCTCCACTTCCTTGGTTATGACTTCTTGAACTGCACAGACTACGTTTGATTTCTCTATAATGCACCATCCTTGCACATAAGTGAAGAATGCACTTGCCTAAGTCTGATCCAGATTAAATTGCACAGTCCCTTTGATCCCACTTTTTGTGACATGATTTTTTGGAAACTTATGGACCCAGCTATCCTGTTGAAAATGCCATTTGTAATTTCTCATTTTTTTAGTTTTTTTTTAGTTTTTATTTTAATTCCAGTTAGTTAAAATACAGTGTAATATTAGCTTCAGGTGTACAGTATAGTGACGCAACACTTCCATACATCACCTGGTACTCATCACAGCAAGTGTACTCCTTAATCCCTTCGCCTGTTTAATCTATCACCCACTCTCTCCCCTCTGCTAACCATCAGTTCTCTATAGTTAAGAATCTGTTTCTTGCTTTATTTCTTTTAAAATATACATATTATTAAAGAGTCAACATAGAAGCAAATGACAGATTATGAAAAAATATTCATAGCATATTTTAGAGGAAGGATTACTATTTCTCTAGCATATAAATGCCAAAAAAATCTATACCATACACTGCAATATATAATTTCTATAAATTTATAGATTTAAGAGCCCAATTGATAACTAGACCAAATATATGAGGTCAAAATTCATATAAGGGGATTTACAACTAGTAAACAAGCATCTAGAGAAATGATCTCATTAATAATCAAAAAAATAAAGACTAAAAATGATTATAAGGTACCATCCTATATGTGAAATTAGTAAAGAAAAAGAACTTTTTGTCGCAATAACATTCAGTGCTACTAAGGGTATAGGGAAACTGATGCATTGAAAAGTATAAATACCAGGATAAATTTATAAAATTGTTTATAAAACAATTTGACAATATATAAAAAGAGCAATAACATATATGCTCTTATCCAATAAAGTCAATTCTGGAAGTCAGTCTTAAAAATTGAAAATATTTTATATTGTTTATAAAAGACTCAAATGTCCAACAATAAGAGATTGGCTTTAAAACTTCAGTCTACAAGGGCACCTGGATGGCTCAGTCAGTGAAGTGTCCAACTGTCGATTTAGGCTCATGGGATTGAGCCCCCTCTTGGGCTCTGTGCTTACAGAGCATAGAAGCTGTTTGGGATTCTGTCTCTCTCTCTATGCCCTTCCTCCTGTTCAGGCGCACACATATGCATGCTCTCTCTCAAAATAAATAAAATAAACTTTAAAAAAATTCAATCTACATCGTCTAATATAATGGTTAAAAGTCTCTGTGCCCACATTAGAAAATGGCAATAATGTACAACTTACATTAAACAGTTAATAAAGTTAATATTAAGTTTTTTTTAAGTAAGCTATAAAGTTATATATACATTGTTATTTATTGCTATTATGTTTTAAAGAAAAGAACTCTTAAGAAAAAAGACTAAATAAATACACCAAAATGTAAATAATTGTTTTATTGAGATAGTGAAATTAATTTTACTTTTTTATTTACACTCTAGCTGGGAGATACTCAGAGACTGTACTCTGACGTACTCTGGGAGGCTGCAAAAATATCTAACACCTCTGCAGGAAAATTCAGTTAAGTGAATCTTTGCTTTGACTAAGAAATTTTATCAAAAGCATTTTTTAAATCACAATAATGCATTTATTTCAAAAGCAAGAGTTGCCAAAAACAATTTTCCTAAAACCACTTTACTCCAGTATCTGGAGGCTGGTTAAAAAAAAAAAAAAAAAAAAAAAAAAAATATATATATATATATATATATCAGTTCGTGAGGGATGCATATATATTTGTGTAAAAAAATGTCATGGCTATTTTCATTTGGGAACAGATCTTGCAGTTGAAATTATAAATCTGTGCTGTTTTTACCAGAAGTAGATAAAAATATTAAAAGGACAGCCAGGGTAAGATCTTGTTAGGAATAACTTCCCAAACAGCTCCTTGAGAACATTTGGATTTACCCACTTCATTTGCTGCCTATGGTGGAAAGCTGAGAGACCCTCTGATCCCACTTGGGACTCTGATCCCAGTGCTGACAGTTAATAAGGCTGTGAGCAAGTTATTTCACTTCTCTAAGCCTTAGTTCTCTCATCTGTAGAGTGGGAATAAGAATACTTATTTACAGAGGTATTATATCATAAGGAATAAACGAGAAAAGGTGTGCATTTTCAAGGACCTAGCAAAGCAGATGGTTGGACACAGTATCCCTTCCTGTGGGAACAACTGCATTGAGGTTCAGCCAATGGGGCAACTGGCAAGAGATTGGAGCCTGGAGGAGAGAAAGCTCACAGTATTTAATCTTCCCACACCCCAGGTCTGGCGACATCTGCCTTCCCCTGCGGCCACTGTTCCAGTCAGACAATCTTTAAATGGCAGCAACTCTCATCCAGGCTCCAAGACCACCATCTCCTCTCCTTGCTTCCATCAGCCAGGAATGATAATGGCTTCCTGCCCTTGCTAGTTTCCAGGATCTCCTTGTGGGATCCTTATCTCTGTACACATGTTTACAAATAATCCCTTCATTTCACAGTTGTTTCAAAAATTCCAGCTGAGGAATGCCAGCTGTCTCCTGCTGAGACCTGGATAGGTCCAAAGACTTACAAAGAGGAAAGAAAGTGCACCCTAATGGTCTAGCCATAGAGTGATGAGCTACACCATTCTGCTCCTGAGGCCCTGGGTTCTTAACACACCTATTCATAATGTGTCTTCCTGCACCTCTTGGGCTCCCTTATGCCTGACTATGCTAAGAATACCTCACCCCTAAGGTGAGGCCTGTCTTTCAACTTTCCAGCACTGGGCTCATGCTTCTGTTTTCCTTACTACTACATATCTCTTCAATAAATGCCCCATTGTTTGTCCTCACACCACCTTCAATGCCCAAGAGGCTGGAGAGCAGGCCTCTACACACTGCTGATGGCCCCTAGAGCTGGAACGGCACTTTGCTGCAGCCACCATAGGCTTAGTCCTTAGTCCATCAGAAGGAAGAGAGGATGTGGACTCAGATTTGGGCCAGGAGACCTCACACTATTATCAAGGAGACAAATAAATGAAATAGGAGCATTTTAGGTCCTGTTACTACAAAGGAAGCTCATGTATATCCATTCTCTTCTGATTTAAACAGTATCCTCTCCAGCGCTTTCTGTGATGATGATCTTCCCATCCTCTACCGTTCAGAGAGGACCTCAGAGCACAGCCTCATGTGTGTGTTCATAGCCTCTGCCACGGTAACTAAGCTGCAGTGGGAACTGAGCTCTTACTATCCCTTTGTGTCCTGATTTCGTTAACATTTTTAAACTTGCTGTTACCTAATTTTCCATTCTTACACCTGTTCACATATTTCATCTGGGCGGAAACCTGCCACATATTGACCCATAAAATGAGAACGTAAAAACTGAAAGATAAACCCAAGAGCCTGGAGAGAGCTGATCTTCAGGGATGCTGGAGAGGAGGAAGCCTGTGTAACCACCATGGCTGGACCAGCTAACCGCCAAGACCCTGCCAGCTCTGAGAACCTTTGGAAGAGTGACTTTTGCCTGGAAGATTAATTTCATGCTAGCAGGCCCAGCCTGATTCATTTCCAGGATCTGTATCCCGGGTCCTCCAGTGGATGGGCACTGCTCCTTGACTCCTGACTGCAGCACCATCCTCACCCAGCCTCTGGAGCTGGTCCTGTCCAAAGGCAGGCCTGAGAGTTTCATACTGAACATGTATATACAGTGCCTCCAGCAGCCAGAACCAGGCCTCTGCACCTCTTTCTGTGCATGTCCCAAACACTGTGCATTCTCAGAGAATATTTGCTGAATGAATAAGGCTGTGTAGCTCCTGATGCCCCATCCGCATCCCGGTAGCCTTCCCAGCAGCCACAGGGCAGACACGGTGGTGAACTCGTTTGTGCAGGCCCCTGTAAGGGGCTCTGGACAGGGGCTGCAAAACTGAAAACACAATTGCCCAAACTTCTTTTCACTGAGGTTCTGAATGTGATTTAGTTTCTCTAATCAGATGCCCTGGCCTGAGACTTAAATTCAGAACAGAGTTGCATGGGAAGAGAGACAAAGCAGAGTTCTCCAAGCCGAACAGATTCAAATTGCCTTGGGTTCAGAGAGCACGGCTGGGGCAGCAGCTTCCTGATTTTGGCAAAGGCAGGAACCCTGCAGTGTGATTAGGGAAGTCATTTCCAGAAGCTCCTTTTATATTCTGTTTCTTTGACCCTCCCAGAAATTCTGTGAGCCATACGTGCTTTTTCACAACCCCCTTTCTGCTAACCAGGTGAACAGTCTGTTACTTCTATGACCCACCCACACACCCTCTCAGACTGCTCCTGGCCTTTCACCTTCCATGGTTATTCCCAAGGCTCAGACTCCCTCTTCATCACAGCTCAGCTTCCCTAAGCCGTATTAAGAACTTGCTTTGCTCAGGGGCCTGGGCTAGATGCTGGAGTTACGGGCATAAATAGGACCTAGTCACTGCCCTCCTGGAGTTGATAGTCTAGTGAGGCAACTAAGTACGTTTTCACGTATGTATCCATCAGAGATAGGGAATCTGAGAAGATTTTACATGGGAGATACTTAGGTTCCAGAAAACTCACTTGGAAGGCGGCACATCTCCAATCCACAAGTGTTTACTGCATACTACTCTGAGCATCTTCTGGAAACTGAAACAAAGATGAGAAATATATATTATGAGATGAAGAACTTTTAAATCTATCATGTGAAAACAACACTTGCTCACCATAGAGAGGCTGACTTCCATAAGGAAACAACACACACTTGTGCCCCACCAACTCTACCCTGTTTCTTCATAATATAGGCTCCTTCTTATTGCTTACAACAGTGCAAAAGACACTCAAGACCTTACCCACCTGTGGCTGCTGGAGAAAAAAATGCTACTTGTCTTGGAGCTTCCAGTGGCCACATTGTGCCAAATCAACCTTATTTCCTGCCATCTCTCGATTCACCCTGAGGCTCAGGAACATCCAACTTTCACTGTTCCCAAAACATGGCCTGCCTTGTCCCCAGTGCCTTCCCCCCTTTAACCCTTAATACTGCTCTCCTGCTTTGCCAGAGTCCTATCCATCCCCTGTGGCTCAGCTGAGTGCCATCTATACCAAAAAGACTTCAATCAATCCCTCAAGATAGGAAGAACTTCTCCATATCTGTACTGTAGACCCTTGACATTTACAGATTTTAACATTCTCCATTCTCCATTTAACGTTCTCCACATTTTCAAACCACCCTAAGGGTCTAAGACATGGGCTCCTCTGGAATTTTGTTAAGGAGATTTTGAATCACAGCTGCTATAAGGCTGGTGTACAGGAAAGTGTCACTGAGCCAAGAGAATGTTGGGAAGATTGGTATAATCAAGGCCCTGGAGGACAAAGAGGGGAGAGAATGGTGGTGCTTCCTATTTCTACCATCATCTTTATCCCACTCAGAGAAGAATTTGTAAGAGGATTGGTAAGAGATTAGAATCTAGTCCCTGAGCCCCAGCAAATGAATCTGGGGGTATTAGGAGACACAAGCTAGGCTCTCTAAGAAGGGAAAAAGGGAAGGCTGTGTAGGGGGCATAGCCAAGAACCAAGGGAGTAGAATTGTTGATTGGAAATCAGGTCTCAGGCACCAGATGTCAGGGAGAAGCTCAAGGCCTTAGGACCAGAGAACTGACCAAGTACCCAGGAGTCTAGCATCGATTGTATTTCCATCGTCCATTGTCATATCTACAAATAGAGCCCGGTAGGATCACAATATTTCTGTTATCTTTTTTCTAAACTCCATGTGGCAGTATGAAGCTTTGGAGGATTCCGCAAGTGCAGAGGCCCCAAAAACCTTGGTAAGTACCCTCTGAAATGTGAAGGTCTGCTGGACTTGGTAAGTGCTTCCATCAAGGTGCCCATTACTTGGGGGAAGTTGGGATCCTTCCTTCTTCAGTAGGCTGGCTGAGGACTTTGTCTTGATGGTCGTTCGTGATCTCTATGAGACCAAAGATCACAATGGGGCAATCATGGCACTTGTCCACTTGACCATGTTGATTGGTCCAGGAGCAAAATCAAATTAAAGCTGGCCTGTGAATCTTTTCTTTTTGGATGTTTGAACTTGGGACCAGAGAAAACTCAGTCTCTCTCTGGTGGCCAAAGTCAGATGTAAAACTTCTGAGCTGCCAAAGGCTGTTTTCCTATCATATGGGAAAAGCCAGACTGCAGTTGAAGAATTGTAATAACTTCTAATGCTTTTTAAACACTTTCTATGTACCAGGCACCATGCCAAGCCCTTTATGGGCATTAACTCACAACAACCCCAAGAGGTAAATATTTTATGATTATCTTTGTTTATGAATGAGGAAACTGAGGCAAAGCAAGGCTAAGTAACTTGCTCAATATCACACAGCTGGTTAGTAATACCATCATCATAACCATGACTCTACCTTGCAGAACTGGCAGGCATACGAGAGTGAAAACAATGGATGACAAGAAGCCTGGTCATGTTCAAGCCCCTGTTCCAGATGTTCCAGAATGCATCTGGAACCATTCTGCCCTGTGTGCATAGAGGAGGAAGCATGTGTGGCCGACATACAGTTGGCTTTCAAGGTGAGTTGGTGCAGTTAGCAACCAGAAAATTCCTGACAAAAAGCTAGTGTCTCCCCAGCATGTAGCATGGTATCCACTACCTTCTTACTCTAAATCTTTCTCTTCCCAATTCCAAGTTGAAATGAAATCATATTCTTAAAGCTTACCAACAGCCTTCCAGTGCCCAAGGAGAAAGTCAGAACTTCTCTACGTAACATACAATGCCCTTCAGGGTCTTGCTTCTGCTTTGCTTCTCACCAGTCCCTGCCCATGCCCCTTTGCTGTGGTGATCTCCAAATAGAAAGAGAAAAATGAGTCTCTGTGTTCTTGTGTCCTCTCCCAACCCCACCACCAATTTACCTAAGCTCACCTCCATTGCTCACAGGTAGTTTGCAGGATTGTGTCTGCTCTGTGACCTGCCACTATTCTTTTATCCAGAGACCTTATGCCAAAGACAGAAGCTCAAGAACTTTGCACTCCCATAAAAGGGCTCCTCACTTGGCTGACTCCCAAACACTGTACCCTCAACATTTCTTTTTTTAATTTTATTTCAATGTTTACTTTTGAGAGAGAGAGAGAGACTGAGGGAGGGAGGGGCAGAGAGGGAGAGGAAGACACAGAATCCTAAGCAGGCTCCAGGCTCTGAGCTGTCAGCACAGAGCCCAATGCAGGGCTTGAACCCATGGATGGCAAGATCATAACCTGAGCTGAAGTTGGACGCTTCAGGTGCCCAGGTGCCCCCGTCAACATTTCTGTCCATTGTGCTTCAACTACCTGAGATTTTGCTACCTAATTAAAATGACATATGAGAAAGTGCCCTGCACAGTGCCTAGAACATAGTAGTTGCTCAGTATGTGATATTATCCTTCATTTTTAACTCTTTTCATGTCCTGAGATCCCCATTATTGAAGGGCTATTGTCCTCATTTTGCCCCCATGAGAGCAACTCAGAACAGACGCCCCACTTCATCTGCCCAGTGGCATATCTGAAAACTATCAGGCCTCCTGTCCAAGTCCTAGTATCTGACAAAACGGTTCAAATTCCAGTGTTTTAGGTCAATGTGTGTGCTACTCTGGGGTCTATGTCTGTGGCTGCAGGTGGGTATCAAAGAGCCTCACTGTGCAGAGGGAAGAGCTTAAGAAGCTGACACCCCAGCAGACTCGATAGGGCCTGCCCACACAGCACCTTTCCCTGACCCTGGAGTCACTATAAAAAGAACAAGCTCAAAGCAAGCTGTTCTGGAAGTACCATTCCATCTCCGTAGCAATTCTATTTGTGTCAGCAGAAGAAAGAGGGCTGGAGCATCCCATTCTGGTACAATTGGAACAATTACCCCTTAAATGTGATAATTACAGTTTGATCATTTTGTAGGCAAAGGCGAGATTGGTTCCAAGATTTTCTCCTTGTTGGAAACTTCTGTGAAGAAACTGTTTGTGTTTCAGGGCCACAGGCTTCATATTTCAGATCCAGATGTGAATGTGCCTGCCTATCCAAAAGGACGTAAATTCTGATATTTATCTTTGGTGCTGTGCAGCTATTTTAGGAGTGAGACAAAGCAATTGTTGGGATAATTTAAACCAGAAGGGCTAGACCCTTTGCATCTGCCCATCAACTTTAGAGCTGGCTATCTTATCAGAAACCATACTGACATCTTGGCATCCATTTGACCGAGATGGCAACATAAATAGTGGGGTTTTTTTTAATGTTTATTTATTTTTCAGAGAGAGAAACAGAGTGCAAATGGGGGGTGGGCAGAGAGAGAGGAGACACAATCTGAAGCATGTTCTAAGCTCTGAGTTGTCAGCACAGACCCAAACTCAAGGCTCAAACTCATGGACTGTGAGATCATGACCTGGGCTGAAGTCAGATGCTTAACTGATGGATCCACCCAGGTGCCCCATAAATAATGTTTTTATCAAGGCCTAGAATACAGAAAAAAAACCTGTAGTCAGATCACATTTTGCACCTGTAGGCTGCATAACTGGTTCTGCCCATTCTGGACATCAGAATCTTATATGCATGATTCATGGTTTGGAACCTTAATCATGGCTGCAAAAAGTTGAGAATAAACAAATGTAACCTATCAAATAAAATATATAGAAATTACTATGCCAAGTTTTGAAATATAAGTATGTATGAAATCAATTATAACCACCATAGTGGTATGGGGAAGGTATCTTCAGGAATGGTGAAACCATTTGATACTTAGCCAGGTAGATCTAAAGAAATATTTCTGCCCTCTTCCTGTCCAGAAAGGCTTCACTTGTCATCCTGATTCTGCCTTATGATCCTTTGTTAGGCCCACACAGCCCATGTCCTGCATATACTTGCCTTTCATGGCCAGCTCTTAGTGTTGAGGTTTTGAGAATTATCAGTGTCTCTTTCTGTAGTTCAAGAAGAACTTAGATTGCTAGTAACTTGTTCTGTAAGTGTTCCTCAAAATGAGCAAACATTTCTCATAAATTTTAACTTGATAAATGAGCAATGTCTTACAATATGAGTAGTTTGTGACATTGAATGTCACATGATCATAACTGAGATAATGGTTCTTGAAATCACTTTGATATACAAGTGCTTTGGATTACAAGTATGTTTCTGGAAAGAATTGTGCTTGCAAACCAGTTTTACTGTAGATCCAAGCTCATGCCTTAAGTGCTGCTAGAATCACTATATCAATATTTTTATGGTTCATATTTATGGCCATCATTCCTAATATGCCCATGCAAATACCCAGAAAATACTCAAATTTAAAGAGGCTCACAATACTGCTGGGCTTTCTGCAGCTGCTTAGAGCTGAGCAGTGTCACAAGTGTCCCTCAGGAAGAGCACCATCTCCAGGGGAAGGGCCACCTTCAGGAGACGCCCACCGCCCAAAGGCCTTCTACTCCAGGCTACTCTTCACACCTTACAAACACCCCCTCCTGCCCATAGCACTTTGGGGTACTATAGTTTCTCCACTTCCAATTCTCTCATATCTAGCCACACCTGTTCTGCTCATCTGTAGAGGATATCCTTTTTCACCTCTGATCTTCCAAAAACAAACATTCTCTTTCATAAGGAACTCCTCATCTACTTCAACAAGAAATGGGT